TGGAAGTCTGCAGTGATGCCCACTGAGGCATAGGTGTGGTACAGCTTCCAGGCTGCACATCAGGCACTGCTGAGCTTTAATTCTGCAAGTCACAAGAGGGTTCTCAGTAGCCTTGGAACCGCTGCTTCATTTATGCTTCTCTTTTATTGCCTATAAAGTGGAAGTATTATTAACTTCCTTACTATATACAAGTAGTATGAAAATTTTACTGAGAAGCTGGTGAAGGCTCATTATAACTGATAAGTACCATTTACTGGTTTGCAGTTTGGAGTTTTACAGCATAATGAAAAGAAGTTAACAAGTTCCATTTAAAATCCTTAAAAATCCCTGTGAGGTGGTTTCATTTGTATTTTAGGTGTTACAACAATTTGAGAATATAATTAAGTCCTTTGGATACACGGAAGCTTAATGTCAACAAATCTTATTTTAACCTTGTTTAATTTACTACCCCAAAACCAAAGCCTATTCTTTTCCTTCCAGAGATACCCTCCTGGTGGAGAATATGCTGTATTGCCACCCCTCTCTAAATGCCAACAAACAATTGCTCCTGCAATTAAAAAAATTCTTCTCAGACTGGAAGACCTACCTGATTGATTACTAGAAACAGAACCGAAAAGTGTTGTTCAAGAGACCTTTCTTGTCGTGTTTCCAAATCAAAACCCTGGTATACAGGAAACAATAATAGTTGATATTTTTAAAAATTCAGATCAATCATCCCACAAACAACACACACCTGTACACTCCACTGAACTATTGACTTTCAAATTACTATGGGTTTTTACCACTAGACTGATACTCTTCTGGTGAAGTGAAACCAGCACGCTATTTTTGATGCATTTACACTTGCCTTGCTTATTTCAGCCACATACCTGCACAGTCTCATAAAGGAGTGAAGTGTAACAACAGATTTAATGCAAGTCAGCATGATGGCATATGTTATTGGGTGCTTTAAAGAAAGTAGCTGAAGTCTAGAATAAAAATTGAAGGCATCTAAAGAACCAGTTAGACTTACTGAGGTTCAGATTTTCTAAATCCAGTAGAGGAGGAAGACAGGAGTTTGTAGTGCCCACTCTTGTCCTCTGACAGTCCCTCCTGGTATGGCACATATGCTTTCAGTCACATGGTGATGGCAAATGTGGCAGAATAAAGTTCTGCCCAGCCCTGAAGTCACTCATTTTACGACAGAAGTATGCTTGTTTTTTAAGTATCTAACATTACTCTTGCAGCAACGTGACCTGTCAGTGACATTTCGCCCAGGATTAAACAATAGCTTTTTAAGACTTCACACAGATGTTTTCTGCATCCTGCAATATGTTTAATAATGTTCAAACTAGTTAATATGCCTGACCATAACTAACACAGGTTCACTCTGAATTTTAACATGAAATACATGAGTTTTCCCTCATCCATTATCTATACTGGACAAGACTAAAATATTGCCGTCATCCAATATTAAATAGAGTGTGTGTCTCTTTGAATCGCATTCAGGTTTCTGCTGAATGCAGTGAAAACCTCATTTTCTTTATCAGAAGCCAAACTCTAGACCCAAGTGATCTATTAATAAAAGCAAACCCAAAAAATCTGGTACTGCAAATGAAATTAAAATTGATTTTTAATAAGACATAATTTTTTTATTTCATATAAAATAGGAAATAAATTAAAAATAAGGTGAAATATTACTGCATGCAAAATGGTTCATTCAGAAAATATCACTGGTCTGTTTATGTTTTCCATTGCTGATTTGTTACAGTTGCAGTCAATGCCAGACAATATTGCATGCAAATGGCATCTTTAAGACAGAGAACAGAGTACTTACTAACACCAAAGGGCTTTGCATGCTATTTTCCAATTGATTTTAGAAATACATGATTAGCATTTTGAGTGCTGGGGGAGAAAAAGAGCTGCTTAAAAGCAGGCACTAATACTAACACAAAAAAAAGACACCGACTTCATTCTTCAGCCGAATGAATAGATCCCCAAATGATACCAGCATGTAAAGAGAAGTTTACAAAAATGTCTATTAAAACCAGATGTTTTAAAAGCTGCACATATCCCGTGGGGGGAATGTAACAATGTTCTTCCTTATTCTCAGCTAATACTCAACAGCTTCAGGTTCTTCCATGTCTCTCTATTGCCTTGTGTTACTAATCTCAGCTGCCATCCTCTCCTGCCCACCGCTGTCAATGTGCCTGACAGCTCAGCCCCGGGACCTGCTGCCACCGTCACCTCTACTGCCATAAAAAGCACACTGCATGCCATGATCTGATGTAATTTTTGTTTATATACTGCTATGGTAATCTGCATACGGGAACTGGATGTATTGTCTTTCTGAAGACAGGGTTGTATGACAGTTTTAGGTTGTATAGAGTTTTAGGAAAAGATTCAAATCTGCTGGGACTGCAATTAATGTGTATTTATATGGCACTGCAAAGGTAATTCATAACCTTGCCATTTTTTTTTCTCTTCCTAATGTTCCTAGTATTTCTTATTGATTGAAAGGGGAATGGTGAGGCAAAGTTTCTGTTTCTTCTGTGCGTAGAAGTTTGCTTGTATTTCAAAGTGAGAAGCAACACAGAATTACCATGAAGTGAAAACTAATGTAATTCTAAGCGCAGTGCTTCCTAATCTGAGTTTATCTGGGAAAATTTGTATTGCAGTATTTGCAGTCAGGGCTGACTCCATGCTGAAGGTCATGCCAAAACATTATTATGGTTGTGAATATTTCTGCAGAGGAGAATCTGTTGTGTCTCAAAGAGGTCCTCTTTCAGGCCATTGCTGTACATAACTAGTCTTAACTATGGCTATTTCCTCACCAGTCCTCCACCTCAGAGCACGAACATCTCGTGTTTCTTATTTTTAAAGCTGGGAAGGAAGCCCCAAAAGACAAATACATCTCTGCTAATGAGCAAAGAAAATGTCTGTTGAGTTTTTGTTCCTTTCTGACAATTACAGAAGTCCTTTGGAAAAAGAAATGAGGCAACAAGGAAGGCAGTCTTTTTAGGGTAACATGGCCACCTCCTTGTTTGCCTTCCTCAAATGTAATGTTAAAGTTTTAATTCACTTTTATTTCTCTGAAGGACTTAAGACTAGTGCTGCTCCTAAGCCTATCTTCAAAACTTAGGAGGTGCTGAAGCCAGGAGCTGGCTCTTGATGAGTGGACAAGTTTGAGAGTAAATGCAGACCTTTTGGGTCCATCTGCAATCGCTCCTGGCAGAAACTGATTTGAGCAGAGTAGGCAAAGATCTCACTCATATCCCTCTTTAGATCTGTATCTGCATGTGGCAGAGTATGACAGAAAAAAAAAGGATAGTTACAGGTGTTGAAAGAATTACTCAGAGAAGACAGGTTTGATGTTTTCTCAGAGTGTTTATTAAACAAGTCCCACTACTGAGGTTCAAGAAAACACTTTAGATTAAATAATGTAAACCCAGAGGTGCAAGGGCTGTAGCTCTTACTGAATTGTAATACCTGTGGATTTGTGGTGATAGTCTCCTAGGCTTCTCTGATTTGAAAATGTGGACATTGCCATCTACTTTCTTAATGGTGATGGTGCACGCTTATTTCTGCCTTCAGGCAAGCGCAATGTCATTTCTTTGTTTCCCTAAGTAAATGCTATATGTGGAACCACAGACATTTCAGTATTGCTGGCATTTCCAGTGGCATATTTTCAAATACCTCTGGCATTTCAAATTGATTCATTTCCAGCAGCAAATTAATTGCATTCCTTCAGCCAACACTCCAATAGTCTGTGCTGCAGAGATAATATGTAACATTATGGTTTCTAATGAAGGAAAATGGAAAACACAAATTTTCTTGAAGACAGGACATAAATGATTGCGCTTCATCATATATCAAACTGGTGAGCTTTGAATAATTTCAAGAACATTTGAAGCATTAGGAAAAAACCTCCTCCCAGACACATTAAAGAAGTGGGGTTTGGGGTTTGTTTTTTTTTCTGAATTGCATTTACTTGCATTCTATTTTGGTATCTTATTTTGCCACATGCTTTCCTTATAAGTTTACTGGCTGTCGCTTAGCTTGACATTGGCAAGCTGAGTTGAAGTTCAGCCTTTTAAAACAAGACAGAGGCTGCTGAGCTGCTTTTAAAGGAGCAAAAATGATTATCTGAAGCTTTTCTAGCAGGAGCACCCTGAAATTCTGCAGCGAGAGGTGGGGTGTGTTTGTGTCAGCTGCCCCTTCTCTTTGTGCTGCCGCTGCTGGGCCACTGCTCCAGCCCCACTGCCTGTGCTGACAACTGAGTTCAGACCTCTCTGCACTGTAAAAGAGCAGACACTATAAATGCACATTTAGTTTTAACAGGTGAATGCTGTTACCAGAGAAATTGTACATGAAAAGCAGTCAAATGACAGAAGTGTTAGAGAGAACCGAAGAGGATTCAAACAGCACAAATCCAAAAGAAAACAAAACGCAACCCCCCGCCTCACCCTCTGGAAGTGTTAATTACAAAATATGTAAGGCTTATGTTGCCTGATGAGGAAGGTTACACTGTATTTGTAGAAATGTACTGGTAAATAGGTCACATTCGGTAAGAGATCATGTTTTCACAAAGTGGTGAAACCTGATTTCCAGACCGGCACTGTCCTTCATTTCAAACAATTAATTGGTTGCATATAGAAAATCTTTAATGCTCGCACGAAGATGGCACCTGTATTTCGTCCTACAAATTTGCTTCCCCATTTCGCACAGGCATTCATTTCTCCACACGGCATTTTCCCCACATCAGAGCATACAAACAGCAATTTTGTACATGAACTGGCAAGCAGGATATCTGTCCCACTTCATGTATGCGTCCAGGTGTCACTGAACGTGCGAGCTCTGAGGATTTTCTTTATCTCTACCATGTATCTGAGGATACAGATTTAGAGATGAGGCTTCATCCCCTTTTAAAGTTTGTTTCCAGCCCTGTACTATTCACGTGCATTTAAAAAAGCCTGCCCCTGTATTTTAAGCGCTTTTTCTCTTTTCTTTTTAATTTTCAGTCCTAATGCTCTTCCAGAAGAGCAGCCACATTCCAGCTCTCAGTGTGCCCCTCTCAACTGTCTCTCTAAGCCTCCTCCTTACCCCTAACCTTCATACGCGACGTAAGAGAAAATGCAAACAGAGTGGAGCTCGTGCAACAGAGGTTGGGGTTGTTCCCAGCAAGCGGGTAGACCCTCCTGCCTTTGCATTGACAAGTCTGGATTCCTATCTCCTGCTCTGGCGACCGAGGGAAGGTTGAGAAGAAGAACACAAAGCACAGAGCCCAACCTATCAAGAAGACTTTTTATGGTTCCTCTGATTGTATTCAAACTTTGCTATCACAACTAAAGTGTAGTGAAATGTAACATCTCGACAACAATGTTCCTTCCAGCTGCTTGGCTTTACCTCTGAAATGATGAGGGACTTAAGCCAATATTAAGAAAAGTATGTTACAAAAATCCTACCCCCACATTCTATAAGTTCAGCCATAGGAACCAGTTCAAATTTCCTTTTGTCATTAAGGGTGTGATATTTATTTCTTACTTTATTTGCACCAGGATTTTGTGTTTATAAAATACAGTCTCTTTTTTTTCTTTTGTGAGAGTTGTATTTAATTGATTTCTTTTTTTTAAAAAAAAGCAGAAATAGTTTAAGTGAAGAATGACTGTGTTAATATTAAAAGAGGCTCGTTGCATTGGCCAGCATATGGCCAATTTTTATTGCACAAAAATGTTGGAAATGGGTTGAATTGGAATGTTAACAATGACTGTATATTTTGCTGCTGCACTGATATTGTTTATGCACTTGTTTTTTTGATTCCTATTACATTAGCTTCTAGTTTTGTTCTAGCTCTTCACTGAAAGATAATTATTAAGCCTAAGAAGGAGATGAAAGGATGAAGTATTGATTTGTTCTCAGTTGTTTGCTTGCATTGTAATTATTTTTTTGCATTTCAGACAAGTAGATGAATTGGTGCTGTTTTTTTGGAGTTCCTTTCTATTTGGTATCTGAGACAGAAAATCTAAAACCAGTAAAATGCTGTGTGCTAATTAAAAACATTCTTTCCTCTTGCTCCCATATTCAGGATACTAGCTCGAGGCCTTACCGTGAAAGGCTGGTGTGGATGGCAGAGTCGTATGCATTTCGTGTGAAGTATTCTGTGGTGAAAGAACTCATGCAGGTAGAGTTAATGGTGTGGATCGGAGTTTGTAGGGCTTTACTGTAGTGCATTTTTTCCTTGCCAAAAATCAACAGACGCAGAACCTTAGCTCATGTCAGTTTATGACAAATACTCAGGTGATCTACACTACACAGACTCTATCGCAACAGTGCACAGTGTTCCTAGTTAAAGATTCTTTCCTGTAAAAGCTGAGTAAGTCTAGGGTGTGTTTTTTTTTCTTAAAAAGTAGCGAGTTTCAGAACAAAATCAAGGATAGTGGAAATTATTTTGCACAGTACCTGGCAGCAAGGCAAGAGGCTAAGTAGGGGGTCATGGTTCAGCATCTATAGGCTTCCTGTCCGGTCAGCAGCTGGAAAAAAAGTCTGCAGCACTGCCTGCCTACCTACTTGTTGGTCACTAGCAGACTCCTTGCTTTGTCAGGTGGCCTTAATCAATCTACAGAAGAAAGGGGTAGATATTTCTACATGTCTTTATTCCTTCTCTGCAGCATATGTATGACCTACGAGCGGGAAACGCAGAACAGCCTAAGGTACAGAGCAGCTGGGGAAAAGAAATTGCTGCAGGTGTGGTTGGAATAATTCTTTCGTATTCTGCCTGAATCTGAGAAAAGGAATTCAGTCTTCTGTTAGTAACAGTGCTTACCAAATGTTACAACACACAACACATCAGCAGAGGAAAGAATCGGTGACCACTCAGTGTGCCTAACAAATCATTATTACCATAGTACCAGGAACAAAGGTGCTGTAAATAGAAATACTCTATGTCATCAACAACGTATGTCGTGTAACCTTGGCAAAGCAGCTGAGCTATTGTAACAAAACATTCAGAGTCGGAGGTGGAGAAGTGATATCCAATTCTGATCAGATCCCACAGACGACACTCGGCAGTGTTTCGACTTCAGTTTCCGGGCAGTTCACATGATTCTTCTCATATACATTTATATTGCTGGTCGGTATCACGCTTAACCCACGTGTTGTCTTGTCATAGAAAACTCAAATGAAAGCTTGTTCAGCTCTGTCCTAATGTCTGACACTGAGATTGGCTGCTATTTTGATTTTTATTTAAAAAAAAAAAACCACCAACATTTCATCTGAGGCAAATGCTGCCTTCAAAAAGCATCTCGGAATTCCTGACCTTGTCAGAATTGGTGTATGAATATCACACAGTGGCCACGTCTGCATCCAACAAAGACAGCCACTGTATATTGTTAAAAACAAAAAGAATTTGCATTGCACTTTGAATACAGTTACTGCAGGCTGCACTTGGAATAGTTTTTCCTATTTTCATATCCAAATCGAATGCATTTTCTCCTGAATTTAAGTTAAACAGAAATTCAGTGAAATACCTTTACTTTCTATACAGATACAAATTTATTGGAAAAAATGTTGTATCAGAACAGTTGTTTAGAAGCGTATTTATTTCCAGTTGTGATTTGCAGGGCAACTTTGGGAAATAGAAACATTGTACTGGTATGTCCATGCGATTAAGAGTTATGGAACAGCATCCAGTGGTATAGAAATTCTTGCCCCATTTTATAGAAATAAATGGGTTTATTAAATTTTTTATTCCTTAAGCTTTAAATTCTTCATTTCTAAGTTTTCGATTTACATTTTTTATATGTAATAGAACTTCAGTGTTGGAAATGTAAGAAAATCAGAAACAAACCAACTTAAATGTACAAATGGCTGTAGTTATTGCATTGTAAGTTATAAAACTGTGTAGGTCCCTGGGACAACTTTTGTCAGTTAACCAGTACAAAATAAAATCTATGTCTTGAACTTCAGATGATAAATTCTTCTTTATTATACTGTGATTGATAACATACAACTTTGTGAGAGATTTTGTAGGAAATATTTACATGCAGACAAAACCAGAAACAAAAGTCTGATTTTTTAAGGGTTGCAAAATATTATATTTTACCCATTTAAAATTAATTTATGATGTGTTGATATATATTCTGATTTTTAAAGATTAAGAAGAAAAACCAATGCATATATTTTGTAATGGCTTATTATACTCAGAAAGGCCGAAACGTGTCCTACACAGTAAAGAAGCAATTCAAATCCTGATCTGACTTTCGTATCTGAAATGCAGCTTTTGTTCTCTATGATGGCCTTTTCTTGGGACATTTCTTGGGATTTGGAATAGGCTATTCAGTTCTGGAGCTTTTTGGTTTGCATTTTATTTTCTGATGCAGTGAAAAAATATTCCTTGTTCAGTGAAATGACCCACTTCTGGAAATTCAGTTTATAGGAAATATGTGGGGAATAAAAAGAAAAGAATAATTTCAAAGAAGGAGAGAAAAAGGTTAATAAATACATTGTAAAAATGTAATAGTATGCAAAACATATTTTCTATCAGTCTGAAGACAAATGGAGGTTTTACAGAAAGAGGAAATATTACCATTTTTCATGCTAATTGTACAGAAGTTTCTGCCTTCTAGATGGAGGCAATAGTGATATTCTTTCTGAATGATCTGATTGACAGGTTGGTATCTCTGTGCTTTCTCCATCCACATTTTTCACAGTAAATTAATGTAACCGTAGCTATACAGTAGAGTTCATAAAATGAAACTGTAATTAAGGTAGCGCTGCAAGTTTTAATGCCAAGATGACTTTCAGTTTATTTTTTATTTAAAAAAAATTGTGAACTTGTCTAAGTCATTTGCCATATTTAAGTGTGAAGTGAAAGGAGAATATGTTATGAGATATAACCTCACTTATGAAATATGACCTCACCTATGAAGGCTGCTCATGATAATTTAATTAAGCAAAATATGACCCAGTCCTCATCACACTGGGAACAACACCCATCAATCTGGGCCATTATTTTGATACCAACCTTAGTGTTCAGCGTGCAATGCCAAAGTCAGTAGTTGTGCTACCAATTCCACTGTAGCTGGATTGATCATCATCATAAGGTATAAATTTTATCAGCTCTTGTGAGGTCTGTTCCTTTCTTTGGCAGAAGATGCATATCCACTGATGTTACAGTAAATTTCTTTCTTTTGTACTTTGGGAATCTTCATTTGCGAACATCAGGCACTGATGTTTTTCCTTTGAAGTATGATAATTGCTATAGTTACCTCTTTAAAAATTCCAGTCTTCACTTTTCTTCAGTTTCCTTTGCTGTGTGTGCAGTGAGTCTGAAAGGGATATACAATATTCAGACTTTTCATAGCCGTTAAGGGTTTTTTTTTAGTATAATTAAGCATCCTGTGGAAAAGAAACAAAAAAGCAATTGCCTTTCGCCTTCAGGCACAATGCATCTAAATATGCAATGTAAAATGCGTGCATGAGATTCTTAACATGGTGTAGCTTTTCCATATCCATAACTAAGCTAGAAAATTCTTATTTCTTGTGCGATCTGCATAGTCCTCCTGCTGGAAAGGCAAGAAGACTACCACAGAAAGTCTATCTTTCATTCTGAAGTGCATGGCTTAAATCCTTATTGGATTTTAATCTGTTTCCTGTGGAGTTCTTGAAAATCGCCTTCATGAAATCTAATGGCAACCAAGTGACAAAGTGACAAAAGGTAAAGGAAAAATCCTATATTCCATAATGGGAGTTAATGTGCGGGCAGACTCTAGGTGATAGGGCCTTGTCTTTCAAAAATGTCCTTCTGGAAAGCTCTGTATTTGTTTTGGTTATCATGATTTGCTGTAAAAAAAAAAAGGTTGAGAAGAGTGGGTTGGTTTTTTTCTCAGCATTAGTAAACTGAGCTAAAAAGTTTTTATTGGTTATATGGTTATTGGTTTTCAAGAATATTTTGGAAATCAGTAAACGCAAATGATTGATAAAAAAAAAGCTTGCTAGCTGAGTTGTTACTTTATCAGCTATGAAGAAGAAATAAGAGTAATCTAGCTTTTTTTTTCTCCTGTTGACAGATATGGCTATGTGTGCTATGCCAGTGGATAAATTAAGTCCATTTCATTAGTTATTGCCCTATTGATTTTCAGCCCTGTGGTTTGACTGTTAAAGGGTTAATTAACTTGATCCTTTGTAAACTATTAAAAAAAAAAAAAAAAGAAAAAAGAAAACTGATGTTTTGTGACTTTTGTAATCTATTGAATGTTCCCATTTGCATGATGTTCTGTATCTAACGAACCATACAGATTGCTGTGTTCCTTTCAAAAGAGTTTTAACATTGGTGGAGTTTGTGACAAACACAAATTTGTATACTGTATGTTTACTGCTGTAATAACTCAGCTACTCCTATGTTGAATTGACATTATGTTGTCCTGCCTTCTTGGGGTTAAATGATGGAGTGTTTCTAGATGGTGAAGAATATAAAAGTATCTATGTTCATTTGCGAAAGACTAAATATTGGAAACTCTTCTTGTTGCTACTTTATGCTAAAAGCAAAAAAAAAAGTTAAAGAATTCTTGTTTCCAAAAAATGCATCATTTGTTTTTAAAATTGAAGTAATTCCCATGTTAACCCTTCCTTGTCCTTGTAGACAATCCTAGATTAATGCCTTGTGAGGGATTCATAAAGTCTGTGCTTGTACATGTGTAATATGATCATGCAGTCAAATGGTTGGGAAAAACACTCTAGTGCTGAAGAAAATAATTAAAAGAAGCCAATATACTGATTCTTACATCTTTATGTTCCAATTAAAATTACAGTGTAATGCATAACTGTTCCAGTGAATAAACTGGCCATTTTTGTTCATTTAATTCCGTGCTGTCTGGTCTACTTCTATTTATATCAGTTTGCAGTGTGTTGGCTTGGCTTTTATGTTTGCATTTATTTAGTTCTTAAAGATCCATAAGTTTGAAAGGTATCAGACAGGAAATTGGGAAGGGAAATCAACATTAAAGGAAAAGGGAATTAGAATTAAAGTGGAGATGCTTCCTCTGTTTTCTGAGATTGAGGCAAAACCAATTCCCCATACGCTGTTTCAAACAGATTTGAGTAATCTCTGAAATGCTGCAACATCTGCATGAGGTCTCAGTACAAGAATGCTTTGTAAGATGTAAACCTCCACCCTCAGGGGATGGGGAAGCAAAGGAAGAGCTGAAGTCGGCGTAAAATTGTCTTGGGAGTGCTGTGTACAGTAGAGCGTACCATACCTGGTTTTTAAAGTAAGAAACATCTTTTATCCCTTGTGGAAGAGTCAGATGGAAATCCTCCCTCAGCAGTGGTCCAGGAGCGTGGCCCTGGCAGGCAGGTGGCCACTGCAGCTCCTCTGGTGAACCTCCCTGCGGGCAGGGTGTCCCAGGGGCAGCAAAGGTCCAGCTTTTAGAAATGGGCCAGGAAAAGGGCAGAGCCTGGAGGAAGGATTGCACCTCCAAGCCTGCTGTGATGTTTGACTCAATGAGAACTATTGGAGGGCTCTTTGTTTTTGGCTGGCTGGCAGGGTGCTTTGGAGAGTAGCAGGATTTGTGCATGGTGACAGAAATGCGGTTCAAGAGCTGGTACTTGTCTGAGTTCCTCCCGCTTCTCTCTTTTCTTCCTTTTTCTCATGTAGCAGGGAGAGGTCTCCAACCTTATCTGTGTTCATTGCAGAAGTGCCTTTGGCACAGTGCTGCACGATCATTTTAGCAGAAATGACTGCTCAGGATATAATTGTCTTACACTTCTCTTCAATTTTAAATTAAAAGACCTTCTAGAATAAAAAAATGAGGAGAGCAGACTTTTCTTCCTTGTTTAGACAGGAGTTCCAGAGGGTTGCCCCTTGCATGAATGTTCTCATGGCAAAGTTGATTTGAGAAACTTCTGACCCTTATTGCTCCTTCCTCTTCCTCTGTATCATCCCTTCAGCGGGTCCTGTGCAGCCCTCTGAGAGGCAATGGTATGAGTAAAGTCACTGAAATAGGCTGGATTAAAAAAACAAAACAAAACAAAACAAGCCCCTCCAAAAATATATCTCTTGTTTCCAAAGAAAATGTCTGTGTAACATCTTCCTTGTTCTGGAACAGTGGGTAATTTCTGACAAATGTACTATTCGTTTTCCTACAGAAATATGCCAGATGATAATGGAGAAGGTTGTGAAACTGAAGTTAACAGTGACTGCCACTGCAAATTTCTGGGTACCTCCCTTGATAAACCCTGCAGTTAGAGAAATGCCAAAACCTCCCAGTTATACCTAAAGGCAGCAGGAGCCATAGTTTGACTCTCTTAACACCATAAAACACTGACAACTCAGGTTGAGCAGAAAAAATTACAGCATAATTTTGAACAATGTTGATGCCTAGATTTCATGAGACCGATAATAAGAACAGAGGTACTAATTATGAAAAGGGCCATATTAAAGGGCCTGACATCAACATCTTCTAGCAGCCTGTGAATGACAAACATAGAAGAGAATATTTTATATATAGAGCAAAATACAGGGTGAAAATGGAGCTAAAATAGATAATAATAATTATGTACATCCTGGGAAAAAATATTTGGAATAAAGCCAGCTCTCCTCTGTTTGTGTGTGCCAAAGGCACAGGCACAACTGCTTTCCTCTCTGTGGAACGTTTTTGGGTGATTGCCTGAATGAAGGAAGAAAGTCCTAACTTTGCACAAAAATGAGACTTAATACAACTCAGTTGACAGCTCAGCAGAAGCTTAATAGCTCAGTAAAAAATATTGACCTTTGCAAGAATAATTCCTTCTTGACTAGAGCAGTATATTAGAAAACACACATTTCACTCATTATTATTTATAAATTCTGTTATATCATATTGGAGGGATCTAGCTCCAGCAATAATGTTTGCTGACTGTTTTTAAAGACACCCCCCCCACCCCCAAATTGATGTTATTGTTACAATAATACATGATTGAGAAATAATTTTTTTTTGAGAAAGTTCCATATTAGGCAGGGGAAAGAAGCCGTTCATCTCCCTGAAGTGAGTTACCAGGAAACTTTGGAAATAAATAATGAGACAGTTGTGTCCATTTAAATTAATTCATAGGATTCATAGGATTCCCTACCTGGGGAGGGCTGCTATCTTTTCAAGTGTCGATTACCTTTGTCAAGGAAATTGATTTTTTGACAGCATTTATTCAATGCTGTCATATTGGTTAAGGTATTAAAACTGAGGCTATTTACTCAGATTGTGAATATAATCTGGATAGCTACATGAACACAGAGCTCCCTTGAAGATCAAAGTCTGAATGCAGAGGATGTAGGCCCAATATTTCGTTCCTTCTCACAGAGGTGGTAAAGGCCTCTGATCACAGCAGAAAAAGAGCTACTGTTTTTAAGGCACACAGGTCATCTTCTATCCACCTATACAAGACTAAATGGCTTTGCTGTAGCAGTAGGAAGTCTCTGCTAGATATGGATGACCCCTGTAAACTCAGATGGCTCAGTGCTGAACCATCCAAAGTAGCCCTTTCTACAGTGATGCAGCTTGTTGGTGCTCTAAGATGAAGCCACAGGTGTCCTTCGTGGCTACACAGATGCCACCATCAGGCCCTAGACTGGGCAAGTTACTTTAGAATCAGGTGGGTATTGACCCATGTTGTTTACAGTTGGTTGGAAAACTTGCTTTGATCTGTGTTAATGGACCTACCATTCAGTTCATTCCTTTCAAATTTGATTTAAAGAGATCCCTGGGTTGTAGCAAAGCTCCACAGACTTCAGTAGGCTCCATCTGGATGTTGGACATTCACTTGTGTGGAGCAGGTGATAGAACTGGGGGCATAACGTGAAGTATCTCATGCAATTTGAAGATGTGGCTGATGAGTGCTTTTGTGACCAGCTTATAACTCAACTTCAGCCATGCAAAACATAAAATTATAAGTTTTATAAATGCACTGCATATAAATACCAGCAATCTCAAAGTCCTACATTATTTAAAAAGAAAATGCCACTGTGAAGCCACCACTGTTTTCAGAGTTTTTTTGTTATCTAAGCCAAATGCAAAGTAGCTCTTTTTATCTTCAGTGCACTCTATGCATATTAATTCATTCCCAAAACATCTTTGCAAAATGGGGACTGTTATCTCTCACCTCCAGATAGACAAATTGAGACTGTGAGATGGGAAAACATCGACGCTCCACCAACTGAACCGAGTTTCTTTATGTGTAACCCTTCACCTCTCCAGGTACATCCATCCTGCACACACTGGAACACCAAAGTGGGTTTAGATGCAGTGGCCAGGTGCTCCCCAAGGTGAGTTATTTGGTCCGTGGTACAGACCCAGCACCGAATCCTGCCTTTCTCAAGTGCTTGAGTTGGTTCAGAGGTCATTCCCTACTTCTGCAGTGCTCATAGGCCCTCGATATAAATAGCAATGTTTAACATCCACTTTCTGGTTTTAATTTCCTCAGACCTATGCCCTCCTTCTGACTGACTGCCAGGCCTGTAAACCAAAAAGGCCGTTTGACTCACTAGGCCCAAGATGAAAAACGCTGCCTAAACATGGGAAAACTTCTCTTCCCCAAACAATGTTAGCTCAGTAAAATATAGATGTTCTTTTTTTGGTAGAAGAACTTGGATTTCCTTTAAAGTGACTGCATCCTTTTAAAGACTGTGCTCAAGATTATGAATATAAATCTGCAACAGAGCCAAAATTAAGATTCTGGACTTTCTGACCCCTTGTCTATACAGTTATGTTTAGTGTTATTTCTGCTTGAATATAAAAGCACGGCATGTTTCAGTGGGGTAAAGTTACAGCCATTTGCAGTGCATAAGGCCACGGGTGTACACTGTAAATCTTGCGTGAAGTACTGAATTCCAAAATTAGACAATGTTAGATCTCTGGAGGTAAAAAGACATTTTAAAAATTATAAATATGAATGGAATTCTATTTTTGAGATTCAGAATACAAGAGAGAGTTTAAGTGGAACAGGAGAAGCATTTATATCCTTTTCACAGCCGTTGCTCCAAATAATGACATTTCAGCCCCAAAAGATCCAAGGGAGTCAGTGGAATGCAGAACAGAATGAAGGAAAACACGGGTGGATGAAGCTAGCTTAGAGGAGTCTGCAAATGCAGCAACAGCTTTGAAGTCTGTGTGTTTAAAGTCAATGTAAATTATTGAGAAGCATGCTGAAACCCCTCTGCAGGTACCATACGCCTCATTAGGAGAAATCTTAAGTACCTGACAGTTTGCATTTTACAGTAAGGGAAAGAAACAAAGTTGAGGTTGCAATATTGAGATCAGTATGTTCTCTTCCAGAGCTGGAAGTAACAATTATGCCTTTCTTTTCACAACATGTTTTATCAGCCAATTGCTCTCTGGGTGTTGATGTGTTAAGGAGGAAACCAAAACATTTTGCTTTACTGTTTAGGTAAGCATTCATAGAGAGATAATGGTTAATATTTGATGTGTACAGCACCTCAGCAACACACGGCTCTTGAAACAAAGTACAATCCTGTAGGTCATAGCACTGAAGGAAGGGAGCGGAGCTCAGGCTCGGCGTTGGGAATCACTGCAAAGCGGTGATCACCGTCAGCTCCCAGTGACCCCTTGGAAAAGCACACCAAGGATCTTGCTGGCACGTATTTTCCTGTCACACCACCAATTTTCAACAGTGAACTTAACTTGATCTGGCAAAAAACTAGAGACTATTGATTTTGGATGTGGGGTGCACCTAAAAGAGTTGTTACTCCTGCCCTGGGAATCAGACCCCACTAAGATGTCCCAAATGGAGAGCTTAGACCATGTTGGTTTTTGTTGGTTTTTTTTTACTTTTTTTCATAGTGGCTGTTGTCTGTCACTGCAGAAGGACTTAA